TCACATTCAAAGACACATAAACCATGAAGGAAGTCTGGTGGGGGCTGGGACTCGACCATGTCGAAATGAATTCTTAATCAAAAGTAAATAAAACACTAAGGAATTATGCTGGAGGCGGGAACTTCACCATTTCCGATCGAAATCATATTCAAAAAATAATGAATGATGCCGGAAATCTGCTGAAGGCTGGGACTCGGCAATTTCCTATTGAATTCATATGTGTTATTCAACAATTATGTTGGAGGCTGGGACACGGCGATGTCCTAATAAATTCCTACTCGAAAAGCAATAAGTTGTTTTAGTGGGTTATGCTGTAGGCTGGGACTCGACACTGTCCCACACATGAATCAGAAACTCTGATGGTGACTGGGACTCGACTATTTCCTATTGAACTCCTATTCAGAAACCAACACCTGCTGGAGGCTGGGACTCGACCATTCCGCATTAAATTCCTACGCAAAAATACTGGTAACAATCAACACATAATTATGTTGAAGGCTGGGCCTCGATGATTCTCTATGGAATATCCAAGCACAAGCCCCCGCAAATCCCGGCGCCTGCACTCGCCTCTCACGGCCCCGGGGGGGGGGGGGGCGCAGGAGCGGAGGGTGCGGACCCGGCCCATCTGCCCCGCAGCGCGCGGCCTTTCCGAAGCCAAGCGGGCAGACGACGGTCGGGCCCGTGGGGGGGCACCTCCCTCCCCACCCCCAGGGCGGGCCGTGCGGGCCAACGACAGCACGCGGCCACTATGGACCTGACGAGAGGGCCCCATTGGGCAACTGAACGCACCAGGCCGCCATGGGCCGCAACGAAGCCACTATGGGCCGAACGAAACCCCAGCGGGCGGAGGGCCCAAACCCGACACACGGCACGGAATTTATATCCCGCCCCAGCACCAGGCGAAGGAAGCACGGCACGGCACCGCACCACACGACGCGAGCAGGAGGCGGAAGCGGGTCGGCCAGCGCGCGGCCGACCAGCCGAGCGAGGGCGCCCCCTGCCAGCCGCGGGGTCGTTAACAGCGCGGGCGGATTTGTGCCAAGCAATAACTCCGTTATTCCGACCCCACAAATCCTGGCGCTCGCACTCGCCTCGCACGGCCCTGGGGGGGGGGGGAAGCCCCCCCAGCAGCGGAGGGTGCGGGCCCGGCCCATCTGCCCCGCAGCGCGCGGCCTCTCCGAGGCCAAGCGGGCAGACGCCAGTCGGGCCCGCGGGGGGGCACCACCCACTGCAACGGCGCTCCCGCGGGCTGCGCCCGGCGCTGCCACCCGCTGCCCCCGCGCGCCGGGGTGCGCCCACGCGTGCGCCGTGCAGACGCGACCGCCAGACTGCGCGGGGTGCTCAGCCATCGCCATCGTCGCTGGACTCTGCCACGCGGGCTTCGACGACCGATTGTCGCTCGAGCCGGGAACCGCTAAGGCATTTCATCCACGCGGGCTGATGCCAGCCGCCCGAAGAAGGTCGGCGACCGGTCCGCCCCAGGCAGCAATGTCCTGCGCGCGCCCGCGCCTGAACGCGCGAGCGCCGAATGACTCCGCGCCACGGCGCCCCATTTCGCCCAGCGCGCGGCGCAGCCGAGCACGTGCCGCGCCAGGGGGCCACGCCACGCAGCTCAGATGGGCCGGCGAGCTGGCTCGCCAATTAGCCAGGCCCCAAGAACGTGCGCGGGACAAGTGGCCGCGCACTCGTCGCACCAGCACTGCCGCGCCAACACCGAGCGGCTCTCGCGGTTCTTCTTCCGGAAACTGCAGCTCGATCACTTGATCGCCGACGACGAACGCGGAAGCCACGCAAGCTGCGGCCGCGCCATTTTCAACGCGCACCGCGTGCAGCGCCTCCGAAGGTAGCCGAAGGAGGAAGGCGCAAGCCGCCAGGCACAATATGCCGAGACGGCGACCCTCGCCAACAACGCGCAGGCGCGACACCAAGCGGGCGACGTCGCGGCCCTGAAGGGCCATGCGTGCCTTCGCTTGCCAGCCAGAACGCTTCTCGATGGCATTTTTAGCGGCGCGAACCGCCGGGTGCCTGAAAACGCCCACGGGCCTTGCGCGCCGACTGCCACTGCGGGCGGACGCGCGCGTTGCCGGAGGATGAAAGGCGGGCGCGCGCCTGCTCGCCACGAGGCATGCCTTCTTCACGCAAGTCACGCAGTTGCTGAAGGTGCCAGCGCACCTGAAGGTCGCGGACCACAGAAGCAGCCCCTCGAGGGTGGGCGGCAGTTCTTTCCCACGCTGCTTTGAAAACGCCCCTTGCGAATGCTATCCAGCACCCGAACCCGCTGCTGAGCGCGGGCAACAAGCACGGGCATGCGCCCAGGAGAGCGCTAACCCCGGCCCTGCGCGCCCACGCTTTTCCGGCCGCTGGGGATGCGACGAGGGCTCCGGCCCTAGCAGCTTCGGCCCCCGGCCCGCGCATGTCTCGGCGACCCTCGCGCCCAGCAATTGAGAGCGCCCGCCGGACAGCGGACGCAGGGCCCGCCGGGGAAGCTGCATGTGCCCAGCCGCTGCCCTGGCGCCCGCGCTTAGCGCCGCAATCGGCATGCCGCGATTTCGCGCGCGCACCGTGGATGACGAGACTGACTCGCTCGAGGGCGTCCGCCTCGCGATGCCGGCCCTGCCCCGGCCGACGCGGGGCACCCGCGGGCGAACGCGGAACGCGCGAGAAGACCTGGGGGCAATCCCGGACGAGGGAGCGGGCGCAGGAGGGGCGCCCGCGCCGCCCCTGCCCAGTGCAGCTGCGCCGCGGCGCCCCTGAAGTCTGGCGCGGCGACGTCAACCAAATCGCTCACAGCGTCGGCGCCGTCATCGGCAAGCAGAGCGGCAGCAGCGAACACAGGAATAGGGCGTGCCTCAGGGCAAACCACGCGAAGCTGAACGATAAATCCAGCCAGCGCCATCACGCGAACACCGAAGAAATCCCCAAGGTGCGCGGACAGCACAGAGATGTTCGCGCGCGCAGGGCGAAGCGCGACCGCGACGCGCGCGAGGGGGGGCACCAGCACCTGCCCGGCCTGGCGGGCGCACCCTGACCGATGAGGGAAGGCCAGATACAATGCACACGTGCCAGGCGCCCGAACCGGTCATGGCTGGCGATGAGGAAGCCACGCACTCGGGTCGAACCACGCATCGCCCAGCACCGGAGAAATCCACTCCGCCCCCATGCGACACAGCAGGAAGTGCGACTCGCGCGAGGGCAGGTCGGCGATATTGTCCGCCGACGCCACACGATGAACGTGTAGATTGCAATTCGTATCCAGCGCCACGCGCCAGATTGAGTGGACCAGGCAAGCGCGGGCAAACTGCTTCGCCGCACCGGACCGGAAAGCCCACTCGCTGCCTGAACTATCCGAAAAGATATTCACGCAACGGCCCGACAGGAGCGGCTCGAAGGTGGCCAGGCCCAGCGCGATGCTTGGCACCTCCAGACCGCCGATTCGATTGTTGCGCCTCTCCTTAAAGAGCCGAAGCAGGAGCTCAGGGGGGGTGACATCGGTGAAGACATTACGCCCGTCAATGAAAACAACCGCGGCCATCCTGGCTGGATGGCCCCGCGCGTCGGAGAGCAGTTGTACAGACCTGGTGTCTGGCGCCTGCCACTCACGAGTTGTGGCGAGTGGACTGGCGACCGCTTCGTGCCACCATTGCAGACAGACTCGCAGGTTTGGAATATCCGTTCGGGCCTCCCCGTGGGGTCCTGCGTTGATGGGGTTTTGATGGCAGAACGTCCATAGGGTTTTGATGGTAGGATTTCGCGTCCCGAGGCAAACGAGAAATCATCGATGGACTGTTTTTTTGTGGACTACACTGCAAAAAAACAGCGATGCTGTTTTTATGAAGCGCAAAAACAACCTGAAACGGTCGGGGCAGTGCCATACGTGTCTATGATGCCGTGAACATGCAGCCGACGAGACAAAGTGGCCAGAGTAAAGTGGGGGCGCTGATGAAGGCGATGAGAAGGACAGGAGTGAGGACAGGGGCGAAGACAGAGTAGACACAGCACCGAAGTCAGGGGTGAGGAGAAGGTAGGAAGGGAGGGCACAAGGCACAGCAGGCGGGAAAGCAGGTTCGAAGGCAAAGGTTTCGAGGTCGGGCGTGAAAGGACGGGGAAGGGGAGAAGTGTGAGAAAGGTGGGAGGAGGAGGGATTACCATAGAGGGGCGAGGGGAGGGATGAGGAAACGGCGGCCGTATTGCAGGCCGACGCCCCTGTCCGCCGTGGGGCCTCTTGGCCGCCGTGGGGCCTCTTGGGAGCCTCTTGGGCCGTCTCGGTGCGATATTGGGGGGCCTCTGGGGCCGTCTTCGAGCAGCGGAAGCCCGACACGGGGGGCGGGGCTGGATTGGGGTCGTGGTGGCGTATCTGCAGGGGACCACTTGGAAGCACATGGAGGGCCATGGCTGGGGCTCTGGTTGTAGCTGGCGGAATGGCGGTAGCCTTCGAACACACTCGACTCCGCGACGACCTGACAGACCCACCTACTCGCAATCCTGCTGGACAGTGCTAGACCAGGGTCCGCGGGGGGGGGGTAGGCGGGACGCTTATGCCAGAATTCCGAGGCGGGCCCAAACGTGGCCACGAGGGCGCCCCAAAAGCTCCAGAAAGGGCTCACGAGTGTAGTTATCGGTTCGCCTTCGGGGGTCGGCGGAAGGCCAGCAGGCTGAGGAAAAACAGGGGGCGACGACGTGCAGACCCCCCTTTCCCTGAAGTGGCAAACGTCACAGCCGCCATCCCGCCTCTGAAGGCGGACCCACCCGCCGTCGACCCCAGGCCACGTCTGCACTTGCTTCAAGTCACGCACCGAGGAGAAGGAGAGCGCATGACGATATCGCAGCTTTTCAACTCCCATGATCACCATGTCACAAAAGATGGGGGCATAGCGGTGCCCCATCCGCCCCCGCTCGCGCCTGGCCCGAGCGCCTCGAAAGCCAGCGGGCGCGCCCTCACTAGGCCGCTCGCTGGCAGGACCACCCGCGCGCGGCTCGCTGATCCCAGCGTCCACGCCAGCCTACTTGGCCTTGCTCAGGGCGGCCGCGAGCAGCTCGCTGATCTTGTCGGACACCAGCTTGTTCACGTCCTTCTCGCCGAACTCCGAAGCGTCGTGCAACGTGTCCCTCATGTTGGTCAGGCTCTCCACCGCCTCACTTGCCTTGAGGTTCTTGATTGTCTGCATTGCTCGTGCCTCCCAAAGCATCGAGGACGAGCGGCGATTTGCTTTTTCAGACCGCTCGGCGAGCTCAGCTCGGTTCGCCTCCATGCCGTGTTCGGCGGCCTCCTCCTTGATAGAGTTCAGCTTGCCCTGGATGGCGGCCACGAGGCTCTTGACCGTCCCCGAGATGCCACGCTGCTTGGCCAGCGCCTTGGCAAAGTGAGCCTGGATCCCGTCGAACGTGTTGGGGTCATCGGCGTCATCGGCCCAATATTTCGACGATCCGTTGGTAACGCCACCAGATAAGCCTTCGAGCTCAACGATCTTCTGCACGGTCTCGGACACCAGCGCCGACCAAAACGAGGTGGAGAAGTCGACGAGCCTGGCGGTGCACATCTTGTGCAACTGCGTGAACTGCACGTTGAAAGCCGCGAAGGTCGAGATGATGCCGCTGCCCTCGGAGGGCGAGCCACCCTCGCTATCCTGCAATGGCTCGGCCGCTGGATGTCCCGCGTCGGGCTTCGGGTCGACCGCGGCTGGGGCCACCGTCACTGTTTCCCAGAATCGTTTCAACGTCGGCTTCAACTCTTGCCATGCCTAAAGGAAGCACGATCGGGCACCCACGGAACTGACCGCGCCGAGCGAGCGCCCTGCCCGCCAGCTTTTCGCCGCTCGCCGTTCGCCCCCACCCCGTGCCCCCGATGCCCCATACCCACCCTAGAAGGACCACACTCCCCTGGACAAAGGAAAACTCAAACTTTTCAGCGGCTCAGTTCCGCGCGCCCGATCGCGCCTCCAAGGAGTTAGCTCCACATGACTCGTCATCGAAGTTCTCGCAGGCGGTCTCGAGAGCATTGCGGGCCTTGACCACCTTGGCAAACTGAAACAGCGAGTCGACGCGACGCATGTCCTCCTCAAACTCCTTGGACTTGCCGCCCTTCGGCTCGATGTGATCTACGACTGCCAGAGCGACGCCGAGCAACTTCAACATCTCATCGGCATCGCCATTCGAATCCTTCGCAGCGTCGCTGATGTCTATGGACACGGCTTCGGCGCGCGAAAGGCACCGCTCGATGCAGAGCATAACTGCTTGAATAGTGTCATTCTTAATGAACTTCATCCCGACGCACTGCTGGCGAGCTTCTCGCACGGCCACGATCGACTCCTCCTTGTCGTGCGCCATGGAACTGCAGGCTTCCGCTAGCGTTTTTTCCTGGACCACCGACGCCACGGATCCCGCAAAAGTGCGGAGGTCGTTGGCCGCAGCCTGAAGCTTCTCGATGATCTTGTCGTCAACTCCCCTGAAGTCGACGGCCTTGGCGATGAAGGCACGGAATTTCACCTCCAAAGACGTCAGCGCGGCGGGGCTCTCGGCGGCGGCAGCCGCATCGCCATTGGATGCCATGCCCGGCGTAACCCAGCCAACCATGGCCGAACACATGAGATTCAACATAGGGTTAGCACCACCCTTGCGAAGCTGCTTGCCAAAACCACCAAATTGTTCGAAGATGGTCTCGAATTCGGTCGCCGTGATGTCGGGCTTGCCCAGCTGCGTGGTGAATGTTCTGATAGCCTCGCCGTGCTTGATGCCCGTGTGGTAGGCCCTGTTGCACTCGCCAATGCACTCTTTGAGCCCCGTCCCGAAGGCGAAGACTACGTTACTCCAGTCCTCGGACCACTCCTCGCGAATGAACTTGCGGACATCTACCCTGTTCCCACACTGCACGAGCGCCTCGGGGCATGGGTCTAGCAATACCTTCAAGGACTCCGAGAAGACGAACAAGTCGTTTGCGAGTTCCTTGAACTCGTCGGGGGCCGCATCGCGCTTCTCCTTAGTACCAACGTGGTCGCCGATAGCTTCAGCCATCATGGTCAGAGCCTCGATGTCAATGTCATCCTTCTTGGTAACGGGGAGCACGACGTTGTTGATGAAGAAGCCCCTGCTGAGCTCGGCAGCCTTCTTGAGCGGGAGCCTGACGAAGGCGAGGAGTGGGTCGGTGACGGAAAACTGCTCGACGTGTCCTTCGAACGACTCACTCCATGGCATGCTGCTATGAACCATATCTGCCACCGAGCTCGCCTCCCTAACTGCTGCCGCGACGAGCTTCAGCTTGAACTGGAAGGCCCCGTCGATGTTGACGCCCTTCAGGTTCTTCAGCAACTTCATCCTGACCTCCTTACCCATGGCATCGACGGCAGACCCGCCGAGACTATTGCAGGCGTCGATGATTCCCAGAAGCTTGGCCTTCTTGTTGACCACCGTTCCGTCAGCTGGCTTGAACCTTTTCAAAGCGTAGAGCTTGTCTCCCATTTTGTGGTCGGCGCCCTTGTCCAATATGGTAGCAAGGTTTATTTCGGATTGGAGCTCGTCGAGACGGAGCCTGTCAGGGTTGTCCAACCTGTTATGAACGCTGCCCTTGCTGCGCTTGGCGGCCGTTGCTGTGACGCCAGTGGCGCACGACCTCGCGTCATCCATGTCCTCGGCTGACGGCGAGGGCCTCGGCAGCCACGATGCGGGCATGTCGCGGGGCGTCATTACCTCGGGCTCTTCAACTGCTTCAGCTTCGGACGGCGGAGCACTCGATCCGCCGATCTGTCCATCGCAGAGGGCCAAGCTGACTTTGGAAGGCTGCAACGTCGGGGTGCGCTGCTGGGAAGAAGAGGGGCCGCCGTAACGGGCAGCAACTGGCGTAGTCGGCGGCTCCTGGAACAATCCTCGGGCTCTCGCTGCCCCGATGGCACGCTTCCGTACTTCCTCCAAGGTGGGGATCGACACGTGTCCGCGCAAGGCCGTCGGCATCATCTCCCGCGCGTACTTCTCGATCGCCTCCTCCGCGTTCGCAGCCTGGCCGTCGCGGCAGTAGTTGCCAGCTTGCAGCGCCCATTCTGCATGGGAACCGCACGTGCTGGACCACTTGCGCACCTTCACGTACGGCTGGGACGGGTCCACGACCAATACACCAGACATCTTCTCAGCATGATGTTCGTTCTTCATCTCCGCGATGCGCTCGCCCGCGTCATTCGGGGTCATCTGGCTTGCGACACGGGGCAGAATGTCCTTCTTGTACTGCTGCTCGTTGATCAGGATGCAATCCGAAAAGATAGTGAAGCCAGTGTCCTGCTTGATGGCCACGTCGTGGGGGCGCGTGCTGCTCGCCGCCTTGCCGTCCGCGATCTCGCACGACGTCTCGAAAGCCTCCGAGATGTCTTTGTCTTCGTTTGCTTTCGCACACAACTGCGTCCACGTGTAGTCGAAGTGCCACTGTCCGTTCACGTACCCCTTGAAGTGGCAGCTGCATGCGTGCATGAACTTCATGATGGGCTCGCCAGGGAACTTGGCATCGGGGAACGGCGTCTCGGAGCCCTCCTGGGAGTTGCAGAAGCCGCACCTGCCCTTCGTGGTCTGCCTGGTAGTGCTGCTGCTCACATATCGGATGAGCAAGGGACCAACCGACGATGCAGACGCCTCGCCGCCTCTGTTGCCCGCTGCTTTCCGTTTTCTCGGCTGCTGTGTCGCGGTCGGGCCGCCACGGCCAGCGCCCCTGCCCGTGCCACGAGCACTCTTGACGGTGGGGGCGCCCTGGTTGTCCGAGCCATCCTCTGACCTCTGAGCGGCATGAGCAGCATCCACCACCTTCTCCCCCCTCTTCATCGAGGCGCCGCTGCAAGGGTGACGGGGGCAGGGCTCGCGAGTCGAGCTAACGAGCGGTAAATGGCGGGCATGCCAAACGCAACACTCGTTGGCCAAAATGGCAGCTCCAGCGGAAGGAGGCGAGCGAGGGGTGGAGGTCTGGGCGCGGGGTGCAAAGCAGACTATATGGGGGCATAACTCGAACAGCTTTACCCAGGTGAGCTTTTGGGGCGTGGGGATGAGGGCGAAGGCGCCTGCCAACCCCCCCGAGCCCCCCCTATGCAGCAGACAAGTAGGCTAGGATTGTCGGGCTGGCCCGCTTTGACCCCCTGGAGCCCACCTGGGGTGTCGCCGAAGCCCCGCGAGCGCCCACCAGGGGGCCCAAGAAAGCTCCAAGAGGGCCCCAAGAGCTGCATAAAAGTAACAGAAAACCGAAATCAGGAATCATGTGTTTTACGTAACTTCCCTGGCCTGTTTGGACCCCTCTTCGGACCCCCAAGACGGCCCAGGAGGGCCCCGAGAAGGGCCACACGAAGGCTCCCAACGGGTGCTACAAACGGGAGGTGCGCTGTAGCACCCGTTGGAGGCCCTCTTGGGGCCCTCTTGGGACCACTCGGAGCCCTCTTGGAGCCGTCTTGGGGCCGTCTTGGGACCCTCTTGGGCCGCCTTGGGGCCCTCGTGGAGCCGTATTGGGGCCCTCTTGGAGCCGTCTTGGGGCTCTCTTGGGGCCCTCTTGGGGCCCTCTTGGGTCGTCCTGGGGCCCTCTTGGGGCCTTCTTGTGGCCTCTTGGGGCCTCTTGGGCTGTCGTGGTGCTCTCTTGGGGCACCCTTGGAGCTCAGAGATGGCCCAAAAAGGGGGATAGCCAGAGCGGTTGGGAGAGGATGGAAGGATGGGGGCAATCCCAAAGTGGAGTGCCTGCAGCTGCCTCGGCCTTCCCCTTGGCCTTGGCTCTCGCCTTGGACTTCGGGGCCGTGGACTTGGTCTTGCCCTCCTTCGGCTCGTCGGGGCCCTCCTGGAAGCCCCCTAGAGCTCACCTGGGATGTCGCCGAGGCCCCGCGAGGGCCCAAGAGGGGCCGAAGAGGGCCCCCAAAGGGGCCTCAGTGAGCACCTGGCCAAACTCCTTCTGGCGGAATTCGGCAGGACGAATGCAGATGCAATCTTGGAACAACCTTGGAGCTCGCCGTCCTCATCGTCTCCTCCGCCCTCCCTCCTCTAACTCCTCCTAAGTCATCCGCCCCATTCCTCTCCCCATCCGCCTTATTCTTCCTCCTCCTCCCCCTCCCATCCCCCATCCATCCCCCCCCCCTTCGGTGGGCCTTCGGGCAGCCTGCGCTCTGTGGTGACTGGCGGAGCCTGAAGGAATCAGGGAGTCCAACAGCGGGGGCAAGCCCCTCCCTTCCTGAGGTTGCTGGCGGCTCGGCCGCCATCCCGCCTCTGGAGTGGAGCTCGGCCACCCCAGCCTTTGAACCCCTGAGGCCCTTGGGCCAAATACTACAAGGGACGTAACGACCATGGGCACGCATGTGGGCCCCTCCCCCGCGCCCCTGTCCGCTGCGCCTGCTCCAGCGGGCCTCGCCGATCTATCTCGAGCCCAGTCTGGCCCCATGGCATTTGCAGTGCGTGGGCCGAGGGCAGAAAGCTCCAGTTTTGAAAGGTGGAGGATGGAGGGAAACCAAGAGGCGGTGCGGAGGAGGATAAGGAGGTGGAGGGGAGGAGAGGGAATCGGAGGAAGGGACTGGAGACATATAAGTGGAGGAGGGGCAAGGGGGGAAGGGGGTCAGTGGCGAAGGTGGCGGTGGGAGTATATGTCTTTATTTTTCAGAGGGACCATGGCCGAGGCGCCTCGGTCGGCACACTGGGACTTAGTGAGAGCTCACAGCGAGCTCGGGAAATATGGACGGAGCTAACGCAAATGTGAGGCCCTCATGCTTGCGCCACTCACGAGGCATCCAGACCTGCGCCACTCACGAGGTCGTCTGACCTGTGCAACCCACGAAGACTCCTGACCTCCGCCACTCACGGTTGCCAGCCAAGATCAATCCTGACCTGTGCGACTCACGGCGCTGCCAAACCATCCTCGTCTTGAGGAGGGATCTTGCAGTTGGGAAGGCCAGCGGCTTTCATGTCGACAGGGTACTTAGGCGTGGAAGGCAACTCCATCGGGACATCTTTCGAGGCCTCCACGGGAGATGGTGGCATGCGCGGAACGAGATGGCCCACGGGTTGTCCGATGTCGGGCGGATTGGATTCCTCGGCGTCACTCGTCGGCGCATCACCTTCGGGCCCGCGTTCTCCTTGTTCGACTGATTGCAGGAACTGGCCCGCCGTCAAGATCTCCTCAATTTCAATGAACGGCTTGAAGCGGACCGTGTACTTGGCAGGCACGGGCTTGATCTTCCGGCGCTTGACAAAGATTGCTTTCTCTCTGCTTGGAATGGAGGCGACATAGTGACGGCAGAAGGTGCCGACCCCTGGGATGACCACCGTGTGGTCGCGCTCCAGCTCCGCGGCGAAGATGACCTGGAAGGACTTCATCACCAGTGCGGCCTGCCCGATCGTGACGCCAGATGAGATGGCGAGCCTATCATGCCACTCCAGAGGCGACATGGAACGATCAGCATACTTCTTGAGGGCGTGACGTTCCGTATGGAGAGGTGGGCTCTGAGATGGCATGCCGCGGGCGTCGCGAAGGCACTGGCAAGGGCCGAACGTTGGAACGATGCAGAAGCACTTGTTTGAACAACAATGTGCTACGGAGAAAGGTCGTAAGGTCACCAAGGGCCAAGAGGGACTCGAAACAAAATGGTGTTGTCATCACACCTCAAGCGCCGACGTCTCGACGACGGCGTCTGCCCACGTCTGAAGAAAACACAGCAAAGCCGTCCTATGAAATAACGGCGCGGGCGGGGGTGCGGCCTGGACGCGGTTACCTTGTCCAGCTGATGATGTGGCCCACCAGAAACGCCGCCGACGAGTGCGGCGGGACCGATCTGACAACGACAACACAATGCAATACAATACAACTAACGAATATACTACGACAAATCACTACACATTGCGTTACATTTAAACACTGAGCTGAAACCTGGAAGCCCCTAACGGACCATGGATGGAACCAACGACGGCCCGAGTTGCACGGACACAAACTCATGGCGGAGCCCAGAATAAAAAAAAATAGCCTGGCGAAGGACCCAACCATACGCGTTCGTGAATACCGAGCTGTGTTGTGGGTACCGCTTTCGGCTTTCGGCTTTCGGCTTTCGGTGGAGATCCCTATGGGCCACGAACCGTGTGACGGGTGTGCCGACATGGGTGCCGATATGGACCTTCGGTGGAGCCCCCTTATGGGGCCCCAAGACGGCCAACGAGGCCTCCGCCCGAAAACGGCCCAAGAGGGCCCCACGAGGGCCCCAGCGGCTCCAAAAATTGCTCGAGAGAGCCTCAAAATAGATGGCTCATCCCAGGTGGGGTGGCTCATCCCAGGTGGGGTGGCTCATCCCAGGTGGGGTGGCTCATCCCAGGTGGGGTGGCTCATCCCAGGTGGGGTGGCTCATCCCAGGTGGGGTGGGTCATCCCAGGTGGGGTGGCTCATCCCAGGTGGGGTGGCTCATCCCAGGTCGGGTGGCTCATACCAGGTGGGGTGGCCCACCCCAGGCGGGGCGGCCCACCGCAGGCGGGGCGGCTCACCCCAGGCGGGGCGGCTCACCCCAGGCGGGGCGGCCCACCCCAGGCGGGGCGGCTCACCCCAGGTGGGGTGGCACACCCCAGGCGGGGCGGCTCACCCCAGGCGGGGTGGCTCATCCCAGGTGGGGTGGCCCACCCCAGGCAGGGTGGCTCACCCCAGGCGGGGCGGCCCGCCCAAGGCGGAGCGGCCCGCCCCAGGCGGGGCGGCTCACCCCAGGCGGAGCAACTCATCCCAGGTGGGGCGGCCCACCCCAGGTGGGGTGGCTCACCCCACCCAGGCGGGGTGGCTCATCCCAGGTGGGGCGGCCCACCCCAGGTGGGGCGGCTCACCCCAGGTGGGGTGGCCCATCCCAGGCGGGGTGGCTCATCCCAGGCGGGGTGGCTCAAGCCAGGTGGGGTGGCTCATCCCAGGTGGGGTGGCTCATCCCAGGTGGGGTGGCTCATCCCAGGTGGGGTGGCTCATCCCAGGTGGGGTGGCTCATCCCAGGTGGGGTGGCCCACCCCAGGCGGGGCTGCCCACCCCAGGCGGGGCGGCTCATCCCAGGCGGGGCGGCTCACCCCAGGCGGTGCGGCCCACCCCAAGCGGAGCGGCTCACCCCAGGTGGGGTGTCCCACCCCAGGCGGGGCGGCTCGCCCCAGGCGGGGTGGCTCATCCCAGGTGGGGTGGCCCACCCCAGGCAGGGTGGCTCACCCCAGGCGGAGCGGCCCACCCCAGGCGGGGCGGCCCACCCCAGGCGGGGCGGCTCACCCCAGGCGGCGCGGCTCATCCCAGGCGGGGTGGCTCATCCCAGGTGGGGCCGCCGATGGGAGATGCGAGCCCCGCCGTCGATCTCACTGGCGCGCCAGCTATCTGAGACGAAGGATGCCTGCCAACAACGGCGGGGCACCGTTGCCTGTCGAGGGGGGAGGGAGCAGGGTGGTGTGGGGGCACTTTGCAAAATTATGAGGCCACGTGGGGTGTGTGCGTGTGTGTGTGTGTGTGTGTGTGTGTGGGGGGGGGGGGGGGGCTTTGCAAAATTCCGAGCCGCAGCTCAGGCGCACCTGCTTGATGGTAAACTAAATTGCGGCGCCGTGGCTTCATGGTAGTTTGATCAACATTGATCAAAACTGTTGAGTGTGTGATGGGGTTGCGATGGGGTTTTGATGGGGTTTTGATGGGGTTTTGATGGGGTGTTGATGGGGTTTTGATGGGGTTTTGATAGGGTTTTGATGGGGTTTTGATCGAAATGGATCGCTCCTGATCAAAATTGATCAAAATGGATCAAAATGGATAATGTTCTGATCAAATTTCCTGGCTGCCCCCCATCAAAATTGTTGGGGTTTTGATCACAATTGAT